CAAGTCGTGGTATTAAATAGGAAGAGAATGCCTTGCTCAAGTCGTGGTATTAAATAGGAAGAGAATGCCTTGCTCAAGTCGTGGTATTAAATAGGAAGATAATGCCTTGCTCAAGTCGTGGTATTAAATAGGAAGAGAATGCCTTGCTCAAGTCGTGGTATACAATAGGAAGAGAATGCCTTGCTCATGTCGTTGTATATAATAGGAAGATAATGCCTTGCTCAAGTCGTGGTATACAATAGGAAGAGAATGCTTTGCTCAAGTCTGCTAGCAGAATACACCTTCTATCCAGAGTAATACATATAATTTTCATCTAGTTGTATACACCTGTGTTCTTGGTAGACACATCTGTGTTCTAGTTGTATACACCCGTGTTCTAGTTGTATACATCTGTGTTCTAGTTGTATACACCTGTGTTCTTGGTGGACACATCTGTGTTCTAGTTGTATACACCCGTGTTCTGGTTGTATACACCCATGTTATAGTTGTATACACCTGTGTTATAGTTGGATACACCCGTGTTCTAGTTATATACACCCGTGTTCTGGTTGTATACACCTGTGTTCTTGATGGACACACGTGTGTTCTAGTTGGATAAACATGTGTTCTAGTTGGGTACACAACATGTGTTGTAGTTGGAGCACATGTCTGATATGCTGTATTCCCACCTATAGTTCATTTCACATTTATCTGTCCTATGGCTCTACTAAACCTCAATACACTAGGATTCCCAGTTAAAAGAAGCAGGTATGAAGTAAATTATGAATATTTACTTAAGTCTAATCAGCTGTGAATTTAACTCCAATATTAACTACTAATAAAGCTTAAAAAAAGAAAGAATTCAATATTACAAAGAACCTGTCCAAGCTCTCCTCACCCTATCAAAAGATCGGACGGTTGTGAACTTCAGGTTGAAACTAAGCAGATATAATTCACAGAGGCTCACAGGAAGGACTTTATAACTACTACTTTTTACAACCAGGTGGCCCTTCTCGATGAGATCTAGAGTCAGTTTCAAGTACAACATACAGCCTTTGCTGAGAGACACCAGGTGGTTGGCAAATCTGAAGGAGGTAGGTCATTTATAATCAACAACTTAAGTAGTACAGTTATATTCACAACTGTTGACAAGAAGTAGTTCTGCTAACTTAACCAATAAGTAATTATCCCTATTAAAACATTTGATAAGACAAACCTTCTACATACTTTTACCATTTACGTTTCTTATTACTCTCTGAAAAAGTTCAACACATTTAAGTGACCACACAGTCTTTCTTCACTCACCAATGATTGAAACAATCTTAGCCTTGTAGAAGGTAAAATGCCCTGAGTGAGAACAATCTTAATAATGTAGAAGATAATTCAGTGAATGAAAACAATCTTATTTTTATGGAAAACAACAATGCTCTGAATGAAAACAATGTTAACACCATAGAAGGTAAAATGCCCTGAGTGAGAACAATCTTAATAATGTAGAAGATAATTCAGTGAATGAAAACAATCTTATTTTTATAGAAAACAACAATGCTCTGAATGAAAACAATCTTAACACTGTAGAAGGTAAAATGCCCTGAGTGAGAACAATCTTAATAATGTAGAAAATAACAATTCCCTGAGTGAGGATAGTTTTAGCCTCGTAGAGGATAACAACGCCTTGAGTGAGAACGATATTAGCATTGTAAAAGATAACAATGCTCTAAGTGGGTGAAATCTTAACATTGTAGAGGATAACATTGCTCTATGTTAAAATATTATTATTTAACTTTGAAATAGATAGTTTTAAAACAACTTTTATTTTGTTACCCGTGATAGTTATGATAAAAAATGTATATACTTTTATAAAGAGTGGCCTAGGATTTTGAGCTAGATAGTACTTATTTTTTTAATATAAATATAATCTAACCTATTTACAAGCCAGTGTTTGTTAAGTCATGTCACGCTTAATTTTTCGAATAGGAGGAATAATGAAAGACGAGTTGCATTTAATTTATCCAGTTAGATTACTGTCTGCCCATTACGAGTTTAGTGACAAGGGTGTAAGGGAGCCGTTGCGTGAAACCTTATAAGTGTAGTGAGT